TGTCACAATTCGTTTCTCCATCTCACGTTGTAAATTCTCTCTTTTTGAAGCAATTGCATCAATCTCGTCAAGAAAGACAATTGATGGGGCAGTCCTATATGCTTTAGAAAAAAGCTCTCTAATATTTTCTTCAGATGCTCCTAAAGTATTTTATAAAATGACAAGTTAAGAATTCAAAAGGGAAAAAAAAAAGGCTTAAAGGTAGCAGCAATGAAACTAGTTTGCCAAAATTCACAATCATTTTTCAACTCTCAAGTCTGAACTGATTAACTAGAAATATCACTTACGAAGTTATGATAAAAGGTTATGTTCTTTAGAACTAAGAATAGTAAAATAGAACATTAAAATCCACGACTTTAACTTCCTGAGGCCAACCATCCAATAAATAACAACTCACTCTAAGCATTCATAACAACATCAGGATAACTGTAACAATAACAAGCTGTAATCACTAATCATGCTACTTAATATCAATCTCACAGGTTGCACCAATGTTTTATCTTTATTTTTATTTTTTTGCCCACTGCAGCAGAAGGTTTAAATTAACAAAGTTGCAATCAACAGAAATTTTTGTAATACCGACTCAACATATTCCGATCAGTATTATTCATTATTAGCAATTATAAAGCACCGTCATCAGTTCTTCACATATTTCACTTCAAATATCAACTATCTTTAGATAATGCCAATCAATATAAGCTTTGAAGTTTTGCACTAACAAGTAACTATATTGATATAAGATACACAAGCTGTAAAAAAATATATGCATTGAACAGCAACATTCATACCTGAAACTCCAGAAACCACTTCTGTAGCTGATATCTGATAGAACGGAAAACCAGTTTCATTAGCTATAGCAAGAGCAAGAGTGGTTTTCCCACAACCTGGGGGTCCATGTAACAAAATCCCTGCCATTGGCCTCACCCCTAACTTTCTTGGCAACTGTGGATGATAAAGTGGAATGATTACTTCCATCTTCAATTCCTCCAGCACCTTCTTCATCCCACCCAAATCTTTGAATCTGGGTCCACCCTTCCCCTTGACCTCAACATCACCATTGCCATTCAAAACAGAACCCGGCAATTGCCTTTTTGGTTCCAAATCCTCTTTCATGTCACCTCCAACCCCATTCATAGCATCAATCTTAGTTGCCTTATTATTATTGGACACCTCCAGTTCAACATTTTTCTCCTCTGCTGTAGATTTCCCATTCTTTGTTTCTGAGTACGATGCCCTCAACATTGTTTTCATCAAGTCGAAGGTTGGTTCCACTTCCTTCCCATAAATTGCATCCTCTGACATAGACACAGTCCCATCTTCACCATCACTCTCTTCAGACTCCGGTGACAATGATGGACTAGAAGTTGAGGCAAAAGAGGTTGATACACACCCCTGATCCCTTCGTAACCTTTGATGGTGTAAATTCTCCATTTTTTGCAGTCTCTCTTCACTTTCATCAACTTTCTTGTGCCTCTTTCGAAATGCACTTTGACCCTCTTCATCTTCATCATTATCATCTGAGGAGTCAGGCTTCAATATTGGAGTATTGGGCTTTTTGTTGAATTGCTTGTTCCCATGCTTAGATGATGCCAAAGCTTCTTGAACAAATTGTGTCAAAGTTTGCTGTTTTGTTCGCTGGTAATCAGGGTAATTTGAGCGAAGATGGTTTACAATTTCATCAACAGTTGAGTACCTCGATTTGCAGGACTCAAGGCGGCGGCGTAGAATTTCATGTAGTGACCTTCCTCCATTTCTTCTTCCCATCTTCGTAGATTTGGTAAAGCATCTACTCAACCTTCCTTCGTTGCTGCTTTAATCTGTCTCAAAAAGCCAATGTTTTTAAATTTGGATCATCATTGAATCAGTAGAGATAAAAGATCCATGGTTCATTAGCCCAACCATGATTGAATCCATGAAAATTATGATCTCAAATAATAAATAATAAGAGGAAAGTACTGATAAATTTTACAAGGTAAAACATGACTTGATATTCAAATCAAAACAAGTCAATATCCATTACAACATCCACAATCATGAACTGAACTTAAAGTAATCACCAATCTCTATAGTTTTGGAGCAGAGAATTAGAGACTAATATCCAGAAGCAGGGTAAGCAAGTATTTTGACAATTTCAGAACCTAACTCAAGCAAGACGGTAGCCTCAAATATCAACTAACAAATTGAATAAGGTTAATCCATAAACCATTGTCAAGGAAATTTCTGAGTCATCAGTTTCAACGTATATGAAGAAGGACTCTTTATCAAGGACCAAGTCTTTCATAATTGATTATTACTACATCTTCTTTTATTGAATAAATTGATCACCGTGCTTCTGTAACTTTTAATCCTAGGTCATTTAATTAAGCTCATCCTAGCAAGCTTGACATTTGCTTCTATCACTGAGATGATGAGGATAACTTTAAAATATATTATTACACCATTAAAGAATCTGTCAGAGAACAATGGTTTTCAGAGAATAAGGCTTTCATTGAAAATTATAAAGTTCTATTGCTGATGTTTGAAACAGAGGCATGTGGCTCCTCCAAAACAACTCAATCTTATTCAAACTGAGATTTTCAACAGATCAGCACACAGCTTAATCCAGAACCTGATAGAACTAGATAAGAATCCAAGTCCTCCCCAATCTCTGCACGAATCAGCATAGAACTTTTTTTTTATTTAAATAATACACCAAAATAACGAGACGAGAGGGTGAACCCAGATTTTACGTGGACAGAACAAGTAAGAAAAAAGGCACAAATCATTCCACACCAAAAAAAAAAATACTAAAACAAACTGCGCACAGCCATTACAATTTCAAGGCCGATAACAGATGATGAATTCTTTCCTAGAAATTCTCAGAACAGAATATCTAAACAGCATCATTTAAGATTGCAACAGGACTGGGAATTTTCTCCAATTGTGGGTGGCGTGCATTACACAGGTTTGAAAAATGAGCCGTTACTCGTGGCCCATGAATTGTTTGTGTTTCAAAATTAGATAGAGATATATAAATTTATGGATTTATACCGGAGACGCTGAGACGCGATGAAGTACAGACTACAGAGCAGATGGCCCAAGTCCCAACATGGTCACGACGATGACGACGCTGAGTATGACACAGCAGCGGAGCAGAGAGGAAATAGGGAACTGGGAAGCAGACCTAACCATAGAGTCGGTTTTTTTTTTTTTTTAATGTATATGTGGGTGGGTGTGTGACTGTGTCATATAAACTTTATAATTTTTTGCATTATATGTTTGATTTAATTCTAATTTGAATTTGAATTTTTTATTTTAATACTTATAATTATTTTTAGCTTAATTTTAATTTGTGTCAGTAAAGTACTGCTAATTAAGTTTGATCAATATAATAAACTGTGTAAAATTTTAATATTCTAATATGTAAATTAGGATGAATGTAAAAAGACAAAAGTTTAAATGATAAAAGTTGATTTATAAAAGTTAAATATTCAGAACTTTTCTAAATTTTGTGATAGTTGTATAACACTCTCATTACTTCTAAAAATTAAAAATTAACCTCCTAATCTTTTAGTTTTTATCACATACTCCCTTGCCATTATTTCTTAGAGTCTATTTGCTTCAATTCCAAACTTATTTGACATAACATACAATGTAATGGAATGTAATAAAATTTTAATTACCATCAGTGTATTTGGTACACGTTGAAAAAGAATATGAACACAAAATATTCTTAAAAGAAAAAGTAAAAAGACAAAAATATTTCAAACAGTTGCAAAACTATCCCCTCTTATTTATACCATTTTTTGTCAAATATAACAAACAATTGGATCTCTTAAATGAACTTTTACAAGATGTAAATTGAAAACTAAATATACATTAAATCCTGCCATCACAATACATCTTTCTTGCTATGAAATTGAAATCTGGAAAACATATCTAAAATTTAAGAAACAAATCTAGAAGAACATGATGAAAGATAAGGAGGAAAGAGAAGATGTGCAATGAAAATCAGGTCTAGAATTTAAGAAAGCCATGTTGACGTCAAAGAAGGAGACTCTTAAACGCACCTAATATTTTCGACGTAGAAGCTCTAGCAGGTTTACAGGTGACGAGTGGAATATCGGGCACATTGAAGACTCTTCTTTGATGTTAGCAGGGTGTTCCAAAATTCCAAGTTTAGTTTTCATTGTACATGATCTCTTTTCTCCCCGTCCTCCATTGCATTCTTCTTCTTGACATGTTTCTTTCTTTTAAATTTTAGATATGTTTTTCCGAGTTTCACTTGTTTGGGATATTTTTTGTCTTCTTACTTTTTTTATTTAAAAAATCATTTATGTTCACATTTTTTTTTACAAGTGTACTAAACGATCTCATGGAAATTTAACATTGCATTTCATTACATTGTAAGTCATGCCAAATAAGTTTAGAATTGAAGCAAACAGGGATAGGTCCTAGGTTACAAATCAAAATGTTTATGCATTCTTCTCTCTTGTGATCATGTTGTAAAGATGCAGGTCTATTTTCTTTAAATGTAATTTTTTTTAACTATTGGATGTAGAAATTTTAAAAGAAGTGAGGCGTGTTAAAATTTCAAATAAAAACAAAATCAAGTGTAATGATACTTTTTAATTGGCAAACAATGAGAACAAAAGATAAAAGAGGATGCGGGAGTAATAAAAACATCAATAATAAAAAGATTAACGAAAAAGAGAAAATTGAAAAGATTGATATTTTAAATAACTAAAAAATTGAAAAAAATAAAATTATAAAGAAATGATAATAAGATATTAATTTTGGTTTTGTGATCAAATAAAAAGGAGATTTGATTCAAATCAAATACAAGTACTCATTAATTCAAACACAACATAACATATTCTGGCATAATTTAAACACCAAAAAAATGTAAATAGACTATTCCATCCCATGACATCACTTTCCTATTTGGAATTGCAAGTATAAAAGACAAATACAAAATATTTAATATCGATTTCAAAATTTAAATATATTTGTTGGCAAAATAGGAAAACCCCATCGAACATGGGTTTGCAACACTCATTACATTAAACAAAATTATGACATGAGAAATCGGTCAAAAAAGAAGTGTGAATCCCGCTAGAAGTTTTGGTTATGATAAATAAATTGCTTGTACATTTGTACCCTAATCTATCCAACAAAGAAATAAGAGAAAGACAAGCACGAACAATTCCCATTAAAAATTCAAACAAAAATCAACTGAAATATGGGCCTTGTAAACTGCAATGTCAATCTCCAGCTCTATAATCTCATATTCAGCAACTGAGGTTTCTTGTATGGTTGGTTCCTTCTACAAAATTACGAACACAAGTTACAACAAATCTTAAAATTGAAATAAACTGCCATACAAAGAGGAAATGAAAACATAATATAATCAACCAACCGTTACTATTAGCGCTGAACAATGTCTATATATTTTTGATAAAAAATATTCATGAAAAGAATTACCTGCCAAAACTAATGCCATTGTTTACTGCTTTCTTTTATCCTTTGATTTAGAGTGTTGCTGCCCATAATATGCTTTATGCCTAGACAATGAAAACTTAAGATGAGCCATATTTTGCTTTCTCCTGGCTTTTCGAGATAAACTTTTTGTCTCAACATTTGACTCCTCTGCAGATGCTTTATCGTTGTCCCCCAATCTATATGATGATGTGGACTTGCTGGCATCATCTCTTGATTTTTTATTTTTCTTCTTCTTGTCCAAACTTCCTGAACGAATGAGCTCTTGAGTCTTCTTCTTCAGCTCGTATCTCTTACGTTTGCTTAACTTCCACTCCTCCTCCCTATAAGTAGCAAGTTTTTTCAAGGAAATATATTGATTCAACTCTTTTTCATCCATCATCAGTAACTCATAGGCGCTCAAGCCAAATCTGTTTGCCTTTGTTTTGGCATACTTGAATCTTGTCTTCAAGTCCCCAATGGTATCCTCATAATCTAATTTATAATACTCATCCATCATTGCCTGTCTTGCTTTCTCCAACAGAGCTGTTTTTCGCTTCCTCTTCCGCTTACCTTCCTCATGAACTTGTTCTTCATTGTTTTCTTCCTCCTCTTGGAAGTCATGATCACTGCCATTCTCCATCCTTTGTTTCAATGCTCGTTCCCTTGCAGCCAGAAACCCATCATCAGACCCACACACGTCCCAGTCTTTCGGAAGTCCAAGCAGTTCATCTTCCTTTGCAAAATCAGGCTTCTCCATTTCACTATCATCACCACAAAAATCTGCATCAGCATCTTCTGCATTATAATATTTTTCATCAAATGCCGCCTTCATCATCTTATCATACTCCTCAGGGTCAAACTCCTCCTCTATTTCTGCAGCAGACAAGGGGATAATATCATCATCATGAATTCCTGCAGTCTTCATTATCTTTCTAACCTTCTCCTGCATCTCTTGCTTCTTCAAATTCTTCAAACGCTTCAACTCCTCCTCCCTCTCCTTCTGTGCCATTGCCATTCTCTCCTCTTTGCTCTTCCTTTGCTCCTTCCTTGCATTTGTCTTCTTCCTCACTGATCCTTCCACACTCCGAGCATGACCTAACACCCTGTCTCCCTGATTTTCTTGATATCTGTATTCATATTCTTCCTGTCTTTCGAGATCACTCTCCTCTGAGTCTGATACCCATTGCAAGTTTTCCTTATCAACACCCAAATTCCCCCCCTTTCTGTCAATCCACATCTCGTTCATGAAATAGCTTTTCAGAAACTTGGAGTTTTCATTTTCATCTGCATCTTCACCAAAGTACTCATCCAATTCCTTTCCATATTCCTCAACATCACTTTCTCTTTTGTTTTCACCAGCCTTCTCCTTCACTACAAAAAAATCCTCTTCATGATCACTTAAACCTTCCTTTTCAGACGCATCAAGAAAAGCCTTTTTCAATTCTTCTTGCTCATCAGTATAAGTCCTTTTTCCATCTTTATCAACAAAATCTAATTCCTCCTCAATCAAATGCTTTGCCATTGAATCTTTCAAATGTGATGACTTCTTACTCTTCTTATTTTCTGATATACCTTTCTCTTTTCCATCACTTTTGTCTTCTATATCCCCAAAATCTGGTCCCTCCTCGATCAAATGCTTTGCCATCACATCCTTCAAATACATTGGGTTTTTACCACTCTTATCTTTAGAATAGTTTTTCTCCTTTTCATTGCTTTCTTCTTCACTGCCATCATCTGACTCAAAAAGCTTAACATCTTTTTCCTTGAGACAGGGGTCTTTCTTCTTCACCTTAATTAAGCAATCAAAAAACTTCTTATTATTCCTTCTAGACATTTTTAGTTCCTCATCATCAGATGATTCAGATTCTTCATCACTACCAGAAGATGAGGATGAAGATGAAGAGATAAGACCCTTCTTTTTTAACTCCTCAAGACGCTGGAGATCCTCCCGTTTCTTGTTGTATTCGAATCTGCGAGCATACTCCTCATTTATCTGGACTTCTGATATGCCATCATTTTCTGAGTCACTACCATCAAAGAGTTGGAGAGCCATATTCTGCGGGAGACCAATTTCTACCAATTTGCAACATAGCAACAACAACATTAAATAGAAATTCCCTCAAAGATTCATATTATTTGAAATTGAAAAAACACCTAAATGAAACAGGTAAAACCTTAAACTTCACATCACAATAAATAATGCTAGTGAAAGAGAACATTTAAACTGGACAGATCTAAAAACGGAGGTTATTTGCTCTCTATGTCAATGAAGACTTTAAATACATGTCAATAATGAATGTCACCTATCATACTTTAAGCAAAAAAGCATGCAAAGCACAAAATGTTGCACTAAAATATAGATGCTAAAAGTCCAAACAAAGCCAAGCTGTGCACCAGTTAAAACGCAGAATTTTGAACTAAGAGGAGCACTTAAAAATGCAGGATTTTGTATACACATTCATCCATAGGCGGAGCTATATTACACTCAGTCTGCCCCCGCTGAAATCTTTTATATATGAATAGCTGATATAACATCCTTTTAATTTTTGTTCCAGACTCTTTGACGAAGATGCCTTAGTAAGCCCATTGATTCAGGCAACTCCTCCAAGCCACTGAAGAATGACAATTTAACTCTATCTTCATAATTGTAAGACACTATTCGAGCCAAGTCATTTACCAGATCATGCATGACAAATACCTCGGGAATTTTCTAAATAGACCATAATATAAAGAGATTGAAAAACAGAATACCAACACACTACAAATCCAACATTGCACACCAAGACAATCCAAAACATACCAATCGCTAGTAATCAAAACGAAGAGTGCAGAAGTACAATAGCCGATAACACATCATTGATGCAAAAACTAGTAGTGAAGTTGTTTTTAAAAAAAAAAAACGTGAACTCAATCTTCAATCAAAAGCGTCAATATTCAAACGTTTACGCGACCAGACTCAAAGCAAAATTCAAGCAAAAAATTTTAAACAAAGTAAGAAACGGTGAGCGGCGTTCGAGACAAGGTCGACGGCAACGCAGAGAAAAGACGAGGCGGGGAATAAATTCAAATCTGGATTCAAAGCCATATTGAACAAACCAATCTCACCGGATTTTGGAAGCAGACAGAGCCCTACGGTTCGAACCTTCTTCAATACTTGCCCGAGAACTACCACCCAGGCCTGAAAACAGCGGGCTGCATCCGACGGCTAGCTCGACCAAGCGCGGAGTGCTTGCTCGTCGAACGAGACATATATATCCCTACCTCTTAGCAGATGACAGGGGTTGTTGATTTGTAATTTATAATTTTAAGAAGAATTTAGGCTCCCCATAATACTTATTTGATTAATTTATAATTAACTATAGTCTTACTGTCTTAGTGTATATGAATTTTCAAAATACAACTCAATTGAATTTTTTACCCAATTATTCTAGCAGTGTTAACTGACAATTATGTTATGCTGATTGTAATAAATTTGTGGTGGGCTTTTCACATCTTGTCTTCAAATCTTTTTAAAGGTATTATAGATGCAGATTACAAAAGATTATCATAAAAAAAGAGAGAGAGAAATAATACTATTTAACAAATAGTGACTCTAATTGAGTGAGAGAATGAAAAGAGAGAAAATTTATAATTAAAAAACATTAAATGACAACCTAATCATTACTTACTACTCTATTTATTTAAGAATATAAAATATTTTTAACTTAATTTCACCTCAAATAAAATAATTATTTACTTTCAAACTAACCCTATCTTTTCATATTTATGCCTATTAAACAACCTATAATAAATATAAAATTATTTATTAATAAGGACATTTTTTAAAAAAAACAATAATTACACCTCGAAAGACAAAAAACGTCTTATATTTTTTAACATCAAATTCTTCAAAAAATGCCCTATATTTTTCAATAGAGAGAGTAGTTACTAGCATGTTTGAGAAGTCTATGTGCTTCTTGGCAAAAAAAAAAAAAAAACACACACACACACATCTATGGGCACATTTACCAACCTGTTTTGTGAATAGTTTTTTTATTTTTCAGAATAAAAAAAATCTGTTTGATAATGTGTTTTTCAAAAAATATTTTAAAAATAAAAAATAAAAAATTATTTTAAAGAATAAAAAAATGAAAAGGTATTCTAAGATTATTGTTTTAGAGAACTAGAAAAAATAAAAAAAAAACATCTAGGCATGTTTGGCAACTTGTTTTGGAAATAATTTTTTATTCTCAAAAAAAAATTTTGATAATGTGTTTTTAAAAAATATTTTAAAAATAGAAAAATAAAAAATTGTTATGTAAAAAAATGAAAACATCTTTTCAGTATTTTGAAATTTTTGAACTAGAGAATGAGGAAAAATAAGAAAAACATGTATTTTTATTATTTTTTATTTTCAAAATATGTTCTATTAAATATTAATTTTCAGAATAATAAAATAAAAATATTTTCAAACAGACCCTTACTTTCATTTTTTAAGTTCTCAAAATATATTTTATAAAATATTAATTCTTAAAATAATAAAAAAATAATTTTAAACAAGTCCATATGTCCGTTTTTTTCCCAAGCTCTTTACAGTCACTTTTGTTTTAAACGAGAGTTTTTCTTTCACTCAGCTTTTAACTGAGCATGCCGGCACTTATACATTATCCAAGAGTGAGAGAGAGTAGACCAAGACAAAATTGTGTTGTAAGGTGACTTGTAAAAATTCAAAATTGCATAGTCTTGTATTTTGTATTAATGTGGTAAGCACTTGGTTAAAACTCATGGGTTTCGTGAACTGCACTTGGTTAAGTTTGTGGGTTTAGTGAAAATTTTCAACTATGATATTAACAGTTAAATGAGGGTCAAATAAAATCTCTTTATTTACTTTGTTTTATTGAAAATCATTTTTACTATTTCATTGGAAAAAAAATTTGAAAATTTCGAGAACACACGATTTATTCCTTGCCAAGTGCCAACTTGTCAAATATTATATTGTTATTGTGAGAAGAAAATATATAAAAAGGAAGCTAAAGGTAATTAAGTTAAAATAGATTGTTAATTTTTGTTGGATGGTAATCTTAAAAAGCTATGATAACTTGTTGTCATTTAAATGATACAAATCACTTCTAGTTATCTTACTTAACTTTTTAAAAATAGTAAAAGATATTATATATTTCAAACTAATATCACCTAGTATCTTTGATTGTCATTTTAATTATACAAATCACTTTTAGTTATCTTATCTAACTTTCTAGAGATAGTAAAAGATATAAAATTTTTTGGACCAATATCACCAAGTATTCTTGAATGTCATTATCTTTCCACCAAGTCCTTCCCTAGGATTAAATGTGCATGGACACTAGGCTTCGACTATCAGTTAGTAGTTTGAACGATGCAAATAAGAATTCCTTTTCATAATACAAAAAAAAAGAGCCCTTTGCAAGAAAATTAATGCAATATCTTCATTCTCTAATTCATTATTAACTCCAAATCTCAATTAATTAAGAGATCAGATTAAGATAAAAACAAGTTTACCAAATTTTCAAATAGGTGAAAAAGTTGGAATCTCAAGTTTTCAAAACTAAAACAATTTTCAAAGAATTGTGAAATAGATAAATCAGAGTTTATAATTATGCAGAAGTATGAGATCATTTCAAAGATTAGTGCATTTACAAAAAAATTAGAAAACAAAGTGATTCTACAAAAATTGGGGCGTACACTGCGACTCATTCACTTTTGTGCTATGCACTATAGCACATTGCAAGTTCTATGATAGCAGAATCTACTATCAAATTGACAGCTTTCGAGGCAACTTTTGACGTACTCCAAACCTCTATCCAATGTTCGATTGATGCGAACTAGGTGTCTAGGAGAAGCTCTTCTCAAGCTCTAACTAATGGCTTGGGTTTCATAACCAAATCATTACACATTCACAAATTAGACATTCTTTTTAAAACTTACACTTACATATATTTTCATAAAGTAAAGTGTTGAAAACTCATTCCATAAGCCAAAAGCTGCAAATACCATTTCAACCACATCCTATAGACTAACATGTATAAATCATATTTTTGACACTCAACCACTATATTTCAAAAACAAGGGGGTTGCTAAAATCTCCCACTTCATCAAATAATCTATGAACTGCTCGAGTTATACCCAACTCTCGCTTGCAGTAGTATTGTAGCCCTATTATCAATGACATGAATCACAAACACATAGCCTAGGGTTCAAAATACACTTATAACTCTCAAAATACATAATGCAAGTAAGAAGCAAAAATTGACTATTTCTAGTTGGCAATTTTAATTATCATATACACATAAAGACTCAAAATAAAGAGGCCTCCTAATAGGATCGTCGTCCTATGCCTTGGGTCATTTTCCTTTATCTAGTCCTCTTGAGTTATTTCCTGTAATATTAAAGATAACTGGGTGAGTACAATCACTCAGTAACTAAGGTCCAACTAACTCATACTAATGCATGTCAATTAATTTAAATGCAAGTGACTAATTACAATAAGATTTCAAATCACAAATCATTCTCTAGAACATAAAATTCACATTTTCAAGCATAAATGCTCATGTTCAAATATTTCATACAAGAGAATAATTAATCACATAATCTATCAACATAATTTCTCATGGAACCAAGCTATACTCGCATTTATCAATATTAGGGACACAATACATATAATCATGTGCCCCTTTTCACTATATATATGATCACACCTCTCTTAAATTTTCATTATTCCTCTAACATAAAATCATGGACTTTAGCATGTTGGGATAGTCTATAATTTAGGACTTCCCTAGCCTAAACACCCGTTAGGGGATTACTTGACTAAGGTTTACCCAACTCACTTGTGAAACACGGTTTCTCCCATTTTCTCACACTATGGGGTATCCTTCTCCCTAAACTAGCTTACTCGTTGAACCAATGGATAGCTAGCTGGGTTTCAATCTCTCATTGAATTAGTAGGACAGTCCTTTGTTGAACAAGTGTAACAATATATATATATATATATATAATCCAAGCAAGCCATTAGCTTGAATGGGTGCCCTACCATATGAATTTAATTATCTACTTTTCTTCTCAGGCGAACTCCCATCTCTCATGATCATTCGATGCATAGATATGCACTATTATACCTAATCATAAATAGGACAATCACATAATACACACCTAATCAATTCATTAAACTCCACTTATCTATTTTATTGAACTTCTTATTCACAAATTCATTGAACTCCTTAACCTCACGTTTTCATTGAACTTTACAATTTTAATTTCATTATACCATACACTTATCAAGTCTTTGAACTCACATTTCTCAAATTCATTGAATTTCATTATCAAATTGTATCATTGAGCTCCAATTTAATCATTTAACTCATAATTCATATCATTGAACTCTCAATTAAACAAGTCATTGAACTTCATATTTTCATAATCATTATACCTCACACATTAACAATCATTGAACTTCATTGAATAACCATCTCGTAGAGGGCTTTTCAAACAAAACATGCCACATTTGCATTTCAATAAATCTCACATAATTCAATTATCAAATATTAATACATAAACTAATTAACACACAAAAGTACCAGATAGAATTCCCTTGGTTACCTCAAACCTTTTAAAGGTTAAAGGTTTCATCTCTCAATTACTCACTCTCAAAGCTTCTGAGAAACTTGAATGGTGCCAAAATGATTACTTTACAATCAATCACAATGAAATTCATCAATATTCGCCTTTGAACTAATTTTCACTAAAAACTCAACACTTTTTCATGCTTAAGATTTATTTTCTACTTGTATATAAAAAATATCTATAAGGTTTTTTAGATTTTTTAAACTTTCATTAATACCATTGAGCTCTTTAATAGTCATTAATGGGACCATATTGTCCCCAACTAACATATTTATGATGGATTTTTGCATATTTATTACTTTTCAACCACCAATCAACATAAACCCATAAATACCAAGTTTCTTTAGCTCAATCTACTCCTATTAACTCTATTTAAATCAATGGATTTAGACCCATAGCCTATATAGACTAAAAATTATTATTATCAACTAAACCTTAACTTTCAATGATAAGAAAATGGAAGAAGGAAGGAGGATTGGAGTGTAAGAAGCTTACCTTTTGCATTTATGATCTCCAAAATATTCCTAATACTCGAATTCCTCAAGCCTTAATAGAGCATTTTTGTCTCTCCTTTGTATTTCTTTGTTTTTCTCTCTTCTTCTACTTCATTTTGCGACTATATTTCAGCAGAA